ATGGTGTCAGAAAACACTGAAGAGCTATAGGCCACTCTATGTGTAACAGTTCTATATACTATGTAATGTATGTAAATGTAAATCCCTTTGTTATCCCACAATGGGGAAATTCACTCTCTGCAGAATATAATGCATTTCTATTTTGCATATATCAAAGCTTCCCTTCTGACCTTTTAAAGAAATATTATTGCAATTAATTATTTTTATGATGTTTCAATTTATTAACGTAACCTTGTACCGTAGAAAGAAATTGGAATAGTAAAAAACATTTTGCTTTCCTGAGTTAACCCGACTCCGATTGAATTACTATCACTTAACCAAATTGTAAATGATGCAAAAATTGTAAGGTTTCTCGCGAAGACTTTAAGACCAAACAAGTAAAACATTTTCTTTGTAATATAGGATCTGTTATAGAGGCATTTTAGCCTACTTGGTCTTTTTATGCTTTTTGTTTTTGTTTTGTCAAACATGGAAATATTACATTTTAATTAACTCAATTTTAATCAAGGGAAAGTTTGGTTCTTGTTGTGTGAGTAATTGTACTCTTAATGTTGAAACAAAATGTTTTTGCTTTTTTATTCCATGTCCTAAATTTTAACTAGGGAAAAAAATGTCTGGCAGGTTTTAATTAAAAAAATGGAAAGAACATGTTAAGAAATACAATTATAAAAACAAAACAAAACAATCCTGATTTCAAAACTCTTTCCAAAACAAGACACATAGTTTTGCTCCTCCCTACTTAAAGGTATACACTGATATCATGTCATTTTGTTTCTTCTAATCAGATGTAATACATTAGAGTAACTATTAAGAATCTTTATGAAATAGAAGCAGGAGCTAAAAAAGCAACTGGGAATTGGTTGATATTTTACAAAAAACAAACAAGAAAAAACTCAGCATAAGTTTCAAATCAGAAAATTAAAAAGAAAGGAAAACAGAAACTAATAAATAGAGGAATGCTAAATAGACTCTGACCAGTAGAGGGCGCCCCTGTGCAGAAGATGAATCTGGAGTCTAATGTCATTGTGAGCTGTTTCATTATAAGTTGCGTTACAAGAAACTAAAGTAGGAAGCAGAGATTTAAATTTCATGTTTTTTTTTTCTTTTGTTTATTTTTACCAGATCAAATGTGTTGAAGGATATTTTTGCTCTATTATTTTTGAAAAAAAAAAAAAAAAGAAATAAATACCTGTAGAATTTTCCCATGTCCTCTTACATTACAACCACATGATTCAGTGAATTTTATTTGGATTACAGAAATAAGTAAAGAACAAGTAGGGCGTACTTAGGGAGAGTAAGGAAATCCATGCATTACTTACCGTTTCAGTCACAAATAAAAATCTGAAAAGTGTGGCATGGTTTTAATATGTGCCAATTCCTCAGTAATCTGTTGACTGAGCAATTGTTGACTGATCTGTCAGTGGTCTGTACTTTTACCAGGCCATTCTACCCCTCTGGTTTCAATTTTTTTAGGAAGCAAAATTATTGTCACTCTTCCATATAGACCAGCTGGTGGGTGTTATGTAATTGATCTGTCTCACCTGGAGCAAAGCGATGGGTGATCTCCTCCTCACTTCCTACAGAGAGACCAACCTGGCTCACACCTTTGATCCATTAAGACACAAGGAGCCAACACTGTTCACCTGACAGCCTAAATCATCACAGTTTTTTTTTCTTCCCTCAACACGTATAGACAGGTTGAAGAAACATCAGCTCTTATTAGGAGTCGATGAGAGCAGGACACATCGGTTTCCACCTTGGATGAAAAGGAAGATATAAACAGACATTAAGAAAGTTCAAATTCATGAGAAACTATTTGAGAAGAGGTAGAGAAGTTGATCTGATGTCTAAGTCTGAGCCTGCACAGAGGAAAACCGTAATGGGAACCTGAGTGGTGTTTGGAGTCAGAAGGTCACTGAGGGATGCTGGAACTAGGTTATTTCTTGAAGGTCCCTCAGCAGAAGCACGCCATAATAATTAAAACTTACAGGAAATAGATGTCCGTGTATGCTGTTAAAATGTACTTGAGTTGCACTGTTTTAGTTTCTTACTCGACTAAATTGGCTTTCCATCAGAGGAAGTTATGGGTTTTTTCAAGGGCAGAGGAGCAAAGACTGAACATGGAGAAGCAGAGAAAAAAAAAATAAACATAAATGAGGGAAAAGAGGGGAGAAAAGGGGGATTGAAGTTTTAAAAAACATCTGTCAGGATGTGAATGTCAGATATAAGCCTGCAGAAACACCAGAAGGGATACATGTGGTTCTTTTGAATTAGCTTCTGTGAGGAGGAAATGTTTGTGTGGTTTACACACACAGATTGATCACATACATTGGCTCAATTGATGAAGAGATGGTTAAAATATCTAATTCAAAGGCCTATTATTAAAATCTTTAAGTTAAAAGCATAAGCACTGCATTTATACTGTAGGTTGCATATTTTGTGGCATTGACAAGGCAAGGCAAGGCAAATTTATTTGTATAGCACAATTCAGTACAAAGACAATGCAAAGTGCTTTACATTATTAAAATATAGGAAAATAAAACAGAATCAAAGCAAGTAGGGAAAAAAATAAAATAAAAAATGCAGAAACAAAAAAGAACATTAAAAAAGTTGGACTAAAGAAAATAAAAAAGTTGAACTGATGATGTTTCAGTTGAACTGTTTAACTAGAACAGTCGAAGGCAATCCTTAAAAAATGTGTTGACGTTATATCTAACTTCGTTTTTGTTCGTTGACTAAAGTAAATTGAAGTTCCTGAGGGTTTTTCCTCTACAGTTTTGGAACTTGACTTTGATGGACTCGTCCAAGAATAAAACCTTTCAGTTTAGGAACGTTTCATCCCAACAGACAAATGTTCTGTGGTGAACACTGATGATTTTTACCAAGACAACTGCTGCTTCAGAAATATTACAGATAATTTCTTAAAGGGCAACAGCAGCGTAGGATGCAGAAGTTCTGCAAACGGAGGGTTGCTGGTCCCCAACCTGTCTTTCCCTGTGGTTGTGTCATTGGGCAAAACACTTCACTTGCATTGCCTACTACTGAAGGTCAAAGGATCTGGTGGCGTCTGTGTACAGCAGCCTTGCTTCTGTCAGCCTGCCCTAGGACAGCTGTGGCTGCAATGCAGCTTGCCACAGTGAATGTGTGCATGAATGGATAATTGTAGAGGTTGTCTTGGAGTCCTGATTTTAAAAAGTTGCTATACAAGTACAGGACATTTACCGTTTTCTGCTGCAGCAGCATAAAAGCACTCTGTTCAATGTTAGAAAACAGGTTTAAGTTTTCTTTTACATTACAAAACTCACTGAGTTTGGCAGCCAACTCTTTTCTATAATTTTGTGTTTATTTTAAGAGCTCTGATGGATGAGTGCTTCCTCTGGCAGTTCATCTCATTTCCATCTCTTTCATTTTTCTCTGTGTAGAGCCTGAAGCCAAACTTTTTGGCTTTACAGGAGCTTTGTGACTCAGCCACTGCTTTGTGCAGATTCAGCTGAAACTTTTAATGGACTATCATGATGAATGTTTCTTTTTGCTCCATCTGGTGTTTTTCCATCATGTCGCATTCACCGTCGTGCCGCGTTTCTGTGACCCCTCACCTCTGGACTCACTTATGCAGAGAGTTCTGCTGTGTCTTGTCGTTTTAATCTCCTGCCATGCTGGTATTTCCTGTCAGCAAGAGTGAAGATGGAACTCTTTGTTTTGCTGACCTTAAGAAACTCCGACAGCAGATTTTAATTAGACTTTTTGTTTCTTTAGAGCATCTGATTTCTGCAGGATGGAACATCTTTAACCTCTGATCGGCTGTTTGGCTGACATACTGAAAGCCGTAGAAATAACTAAGGGTCCAAAGTTCAAGGCATTTAAAAGAAGACATCAGGAAGCTGCTGCAAGAAGATCCAACAGGAATATGTTTCTAAAACACATGCCTACAATAAAAATGTCTTTTTTTTTTAATAAGCTCTGTTTCTCTCTTCAAAATAGCATCTAAAATAGGTACTAACATGTTCTATTTATACATGTTGTTTTGGTTTTTCCAGGTACCACAGTGTGGTTTGGTTTTGCTCTGGTGTATAATGGTTGCATCCTGACCTCCACATTGGATACAGTAAAACAAAAGGGAACTCAAGCCGGTTCCCTTCATTTTCTCACAGTTGCCATGGAGACAGCATCACATGACTGGACATCAGCGTTCTGGTGAGGACCTCACAGCTCTGTTGCAGTGGACTGGGAGAACAGACGGTCCCTGTGAGTCTGAGCTGGAATGGAACCAACACCAGCGAAGGACCCGATCCACATTCACTCCCTCTCTTCACACCTCACATCCCAGTTTCCATGGCAACAAGCTCTGGGAACCAGTTGTCTTAGCAGTGGACATAAAAGCTACCAGAACTGTTTTGTTTAAACCATCTTGTCATCACTGTCAAACTGTTCTAGGAGTTAGACCGGCCCCAGTGTTTCAGCTCCAAAACAGGCAGAACCAGAATTGTTCCAGTTGACTTTTTGGGATTCTGATGTTTGAATACAAGAGTGTGATGCAGCTCAGATGGCGTTGTGTGTTTGGGTTTTCCTGAGAAAACAGAATGATGCAAGATAATGGAGATTATGATTAATACATACCTTAGGGTAAAGAAAATAATATTTTACCAAAAGTTTGGTGCATTTAAGAAGTTTAATTGTGACTCTAAATTAAATATTTACCTAATAAAGTCTTTAACTACTGTGGATTTTTTTAATCTAAGCCAAAGGCCTTTTTTTGTCCTTCACAGCCTTAAGGAACCAGAGTAAAGCAGTCTTATAAACACCATTCTCAGGGCTGGAGCTGAACCGTCACCCCGGTAACCGTGTAGGACAGCCTGAAGTTTTTTCCAGTAAACAGCAACAGAAGCAAAAGTGAAAGCTTGAAAATGAAAGGAAATTCCAATTAAAAAAAAAAACAACAACAAAAAAAATCCCGGGATATAAAATGATGTTATCACAAGTGAAACAGTTAGAGTGAGGAAATAAATATTTTTATTAGAAACAATGAGAAAGGACCTGTACAGAACTTATAAATCAAAAGAATTTGTAACAAAACTACTTTGCAGCATCTGTACCAAACTAACAGAAGATAAGTATAAACACATGTTTCTTCATGAGAAAGAAAAAAGAAAAACCTTTTAGGTTTAATCAAGCTTGTGCTTTTAGTTTTGATCTGCAGGCTGAAACCTGAAGCATCAGGTGGGTTTTTAAATGCAGAGGGGAGATGTTCCTGCAGCACTAGGCTGGTGCCAGGGCGTAGGGACGTTACAGCTGCCTTTAGATATGTGCAAAAGTTAGAAAAACAAAGCATTATAATGTGCTGATGTGCAGTATTTACATTTCTGTGATTATAGCTGCGTTTTTGGAACTCATCAGCAAAACATTGGGCTCATAACAGTGATTTAAGGAGGGTGAGGTAGAAGTCATGTTTCTAGAAAGACAGAAACATTATTTAATATGCGCACTCATACAGATGACCTCATACAGTGCTGTGAAAACTATTTACACCAATAAAGATTCCTTACATATTCATTTAAAATCATCAACAAGAGTAAATAGAAAAGGCTGTTTTTTTTAAGGACAATTTAATGTAGGAAGCGGTGGATCCAAGGCAACCTGAAACGGACCCTAAACCTAAAAACTGTTTCTGTCACTCTTGGCAGCAACAACTGGGGTTACAGGATTTCCAATAACCTAACGACTTGTGTTTCATGCTGGAAAAATTCCTGGCCCCTGAATTGTTTTCCTTTAGTCACTTTTGGGTTTTCCCCAAAAATACTTTGGTTCATTTTTCCCTAAAACTATTTAATGATGTTTACTGGTTAGATTATTTCTAAAAGTTTCATAGATTTTACAAAACAATTGTGGTGTTACAGCACTGTATGCTGGGAAAAGAGATATTTTAAATCTTGTTGTGAATGCTAGAGTCAGAGCTTGAATCTAAGGAGCACCACAACCAGAGGGGGCTGGGACATGTAGTGGTACTCTGGCCACCTGATCCACGTTAGCCATTATAAAAAAAAAAAAAGCTGTGTTTTTAAACTGAAAGCATCAGATTTGGGGAAAGATTTAACATTACTTCAAGACTTTCCCTGTGCAGTGAACCTCTTACAGCAACACTAAAGCCACATTTCAGTGCATTAAAGCCCTACTTTAAAAGCCATCTTCCTGAAGTCAGGTATCCCGTCTCAAGGACATGATTGCCACCCTTTGACATTCAGGAGCAAAATGTTCTGATGTGACAAAATCACATCAGCACTGAAGGAAAGACATATTTTGGAGCTTAGGGGCCTCAGAAACGAGTGTGTTGGCTTCATGCTGAAGGCGGGGCGGACTGGGCCAGCTGATAAAAACCTTTCTTCCTGGATCTCCTCATGTAGTCGAGGACCAAAGCAAAAGCCGTGAGCCCGGCAGCAATGCAGGCGGCTGAAATGAGGATGATACTGAAACCTGGAGGAACTCCGGTTCTGACCTCTGCTAATGAAATACAAGCAAACAAATAAAGTAAAATGTAATCCAACATCTCCATATAGTAGTTTAGTGATTTTTACCAACCTCTGACTCTGATGCTGAAGACTTTGATCTCAGAACCAAGATCGTTGCTCACGTTAACCTGATACAACCCAGAGTCTCTGGATGTGACGTTGACCAATAGGAAGGTGCCATTGGTTGAATACAGCTCTGTTCCGTTGTTTAGCTTCCTCAGGATCACAGCTGATGGTGGGAAGCTGATTGTCTGGCAGCAGACAGTCACATTTTGTCCCTCCTTGACTTCTGCAGAGGGAAGGATGAGGACGGTGGTGTTCCTCGGGGGAGCTGAACAGAACAAACCCAGACAAACATAGTTAGAGTGGGTCCTGTCCGTGTTATAAGCATTGATGTTCTGAGGGTAATAAAATAATGCTTTTCTGGTTTTATAGTGCTTTATGGTTGCAAAGCGCTATAATCTATTCTGCTCCAGTTGCATAATACCTGGCAAATGTTACAGAGATTTGTAAATCATCCCTCTGCCATTATGTTGTGTCACATCAATGGCATGCATACAGTGTTAGATGCACATCATGCAGGCCTTGCATTGGCTTAAAGGATGTTAAAAGATCTCATGCAGGGGTAATGCTAAGTATTTCAGGTGAAACATCATTTTCTGCCGATGTTACAGAAGTTTCTTAAGATGAGACTGCACATTTTGACTTTTAAAAGTCAGTTTGCTGTCAACAAATGTTAATTTCTACAGGCATTATCGCCACAGACCTTCAACATCTTTTGGATGTTGTAAAGAACTACATAAATAATGATAAGTTAGGTTAGTAGAGAGGTAGGTATCAAGGAAGTATGTCTTTCTTTGTATCTAACATTATTTCGTGTGCTGTGACATATTAGAGGGGGAAAAAAGAAAATCCGATGGCGTATTACTGTCATTTCCTTTTAAATAATTCTTCTTCTATAGTTAGTTATATATATAGCTATAGTTATAACATTTCCTTCTTCTGTGGTGATTTATCCCCTGAGGAAAATCTGGCCATGTTCTGTCGAAGACATCGAGGCTCTGGCCACCTCTTAACTTGCTGACGTTAACTGTGATAAATCACTGGACACTAAAGTGAGAAGAGTGTGTGGAGGCGGCACTGGTGACTAATTCTAACACTTTGAGGAGGTTCAGCCTGTAAACAGCTACAAGAGCCTTCTGACCTCCTCAGATAACAGAGAAGTGAAGTCAGTGACAACTGGTTTCTGATCAGCCCGCTTAGTAGAAAACTAGCAAACAGGCTTTTATCAGCTTTTAGAAATGTCATTCTTCAGTTTAATGTGTTTAAAGTGCTTTTTAAAGTTGATTTCATCTCTCACATCTGCAGCAACAGGTCAAAGAATTTCAAATGGGCCTCTTGACCTTTTCTTTGACCTTTAGGCAGCACATCATCACCTGATAGTGGACGACCCTGTCATCCGACTATGGGTCAAAATAGTTTCTGCTCATTTTAAAAAGCTTTAAAACTCTTGAGCCACAAGAAAACAACAGTTTACACATGTTTTATACCAATTTGGTGCACTGCAAAGCGACACAACATTTAATAAGTTATTATTTTAATTAAAGCCAACAGGGTCTAAACAGATAGAAAAGTATGTCAATGCCCCTGTATGTTAAGTTTAAAGAGATCAGTTTCCTGAAGATTACTTTCTGAAGTTCTGCTGGTCTTGTTTATTTTGTACCTCACTGGACACATGGCTTTCATTTGTATTTAATCTTTCTGGATGTTTCTATTCCATTCGTGGACTATGAGACATGCATTACGGCATTTAAGATTGAACTATAACACCCACAGTTCCTGCATTGGTCCGATCCAATCACCCACTGAAGGGAGGTTGACAGCTCAACAGTTACGTGACTCAGCAGTGGGATCAGATGCTATTTCTGTCAACCTCCCTGATGAAAGCTGTAAAAACAAAGAGAACAAGAAATGGAAACCAGAAGAACTGGGAACAGGACGGGAAAAAAATAAACCAGACTAAATGTGAGATTAAATGTGTAATTTAGTCTGGCCCCAATTAATGAGACATTGTTGTTGAGAACAACCCGTTGTCTTTCAAACCATGTCTGTGCCTATTGGCCAACGCTCTGACCAATGAGCACAACTGACAGTGATGTAGTAAGCGTGACAGAAAGCTGGTGGGGGAGTGTAAAAAAACAGCCTGATGGTAAACCGGTGAATACGTCCTTCTTAAAAATTAATGAGTGTAGAACCTCTTCCTGCTCACGTTTAAACGAAAACCGAAAGTCTAATCCTTCCAAAACTGATTCCAAAGCTGAGTCAAACGAGAACTGTTCAATAGTTGCTGCCATCTTCCTTTGTGTCTTCCTCCAGCGTCGTGCTGCTTTGTCGTCCCGCCCTCAAAACCCCGCCCTTTTTGCATCCAGAAATTCAAAACACATCTCTGCGTTGTGATTGGCCCACCAGTTCTAGGGCCTGGGGCATTGATCGAGGCAAGACCAAACTTGCATGCAAAAATTATTTTGGCCGTTGGTGGGTGGGGCTAGTATTTTGTCCAAGATTAGACCTGTGATCCTGTTAAACCAAAGTAGTTCTGTTCTAATCTGTCAACAGAAATGTCTTCAAGGGTTCATTAAACTTCTTAAACAAACCTTCAGGTTTCCACTGATCTAAAATCACCTGCTGAATTCAGATCATCCAGACACATTTTGACTATTTTGACCCAGAGATGATTAGTTATCAGTTCATATGATAGAGTGTCAACAAAGAAGCCTATTTTTATGATAATTAACTGGTGTTTAGTCTTGTTAAAGCCTTGGGCAGGGGCCTGAAAACTCTGGCTCTGGGGCCACATGAAGCTATTATTGTAATACTCCTCAATTATAAAAAAATAAAAAGGGCCAACTCTAATATTCACAACAAAACAATGACAAGGATTTTTTTTTTGTTTTTTTGCTACAAAATAAGCATTCTCCACTTTCTATGAATATGGATGGTTTCATTTTAGGACTGAATTTATACAGAGAATAAACACTCAGGTAAACTTTAGCTAGCTACTCATTACGTGACATTTTACGGCAAATTGTTGTGCTGGATTATTTTTGAGGTGCCAGCTTATCGGTTTGGAAAACACTTCACAGAAATTCATCTTTCATCATCAACCTTCTGACCTTTGACTGTGACAGAGCTGGAGACAAACTGGGAGCCGTACTGGTTCGAGGCCTCACACTGGTAGAGGCCCGACTCTTCTAGAAGGGCGGAGGAGATGCTGAGAGTGATAGAGGAGGAGGAATCAGAGTCACTCCTCAGAAGTTCCTCCCCATTTCTCCTCAACACTACTGCGGGTGGTGGAACTCCATCTGAACGGCAGGTAAACGTCACCTGCTGACCCTCTAGCACCTCATCACCTGGACTGATGGACAGGGAGGGCAACCTGGGAGGATCTGGGTCAGAAACAGATACAAACCTGAGGTTAGGGTTATCAAGATTTAAAGGAGAAAGAGAGGATTAGGAGAGAAAAATACATCAGTTCAAGGAATTAAACAAGGTCGCCACCAGTGCAGAGCTTGGTCAATGCTGATGGGAAACTGTAACATAGAATTCAAAAGCTACCATTGATGAGCAGGTACTGCACTGATGGCAACCCGGTTTAATAGTTGAATTAATGAATAAGGAGGCCACCAGTGTAGAGCTTATTCAGATCCTTTGGGTGCAAGAAAAGGTAAATATAAATATTAACTAAATAATAGGGAAAAACTAACTAACTGGAACTATTTAGTGATTATAAACCTAAAACATGTGAAAACTCTTAAATTATATATCTATACACCCTTCCTCTTTGTGTACATAATTTTTTTAATATGTCTTGCACACTAAAATATTTTTATTTCCCCAAAGGACTCAATTCACGTCAGCTATAATTGAGCCAGTTTTTGAGAATGGAATCTTGTTTTATTACTTAAGTCTCATCAAAATATTTACAGCTTTTACTCGTCGTCCTTTAGTTAATTGGGAAGTTGGATTGTCTGCTCTGTTGGCGGATCCTCCTAAATTAAGCTGTTCTTGACATTTGACCTTCATATCACCACTTACCAAAAAAGGAGCATGGAGCTACCAAACTATTTTTTTAATAGCTAAGGGCTCATAACATGTTAGAGAGAAAAGCTTTACACATCCTGCTTCTTAATTGGGATCATGACAGAAATAGGAATAATCTGAATGAAACCATCTCAATGAATGTTAGAAGTCAACTCATAAAGTTGACTTCTAACAACTCAGACTAACTCTGGAGTTTTAAAAAGGCAATCTGAGATGATTAAATCCCAAACCCTGATTACTTACAGTGGATCTGCAGAGGGATGCTTGTCCTTCTGGATTTCCAAATGTCTCTGTCCTCTGTCAGCAGCTCCACCCTACAGGTCAGGACCTGCTGCACCTTCTCAAACTGGTGCTTTAAGACTGATGAGATGTTCTGCAGGGAACCAGAGGACTTGTACATCTCCATCATTAGGGTTTCATTTCCTGAAAGCCAGGAGAACCTCAGCTGATTGGCTGAGAAAATGTTGAAGACATTGCAGTGATATTCAGTTTCCTGGCCAAGCAGAACGGGACCGGGATCCTCCAGAACAGGATCAGAGGGGAATGCTGGAGAGACAAGAAAAGAGCCGAGACATTAATGAGAGGGACTAACCAACAGACAGGAAAAAGCTAATCTTCTATATCATGTAAACTTTTCATAATGCTCACAGTCCTGATCTGGATTCTGTCAGACTGATAAAATAAAATTTGAAGGATTGTTGGTGAAAAATAATCTGGAACAGATAAACCTTGTAAAACATCTTGTAAAATATCTCCAGTACTAACGTTACCTATATAGCTACCTAACTACCTATAGAAGTTTTCCTTCACTTTTAAACACCCCCCCCCTCCCAGCCTCTGCTGTCTCTGCTGTCACTGGTCAAACCATAAACCTTCAACAGAACATCTTCAGCACACATGAAACCTCCACAAAATATTCTGGATCTCCTCCCATATTTACAGAAAACAACATTTAGTTTTCTCTGAAAGTCTTAAGTACATCTGTAAATACATCAACGTCCAGTTAAAGTAAAACGTTGAAAAGTAACACCCGTAAAAGCTCTGCATGTCAGCGGGATCCTGGTGTCCCTGCAAGAAAGCTGAACAAAGTCTGGTTCAGTTCAGATCTCCGCAAAACATTTTTCTTAAAAAGATCTCTTTGGAAACTGAAAAGGTTGATTTTTCTGTGTATTTCAATAGGTTCTGTTTTAAACGCAGCTCTGACTCTGATAAAAAAAAAAGGGCTGCATAATGAATCCTCCTTTAAGGAATGTCATGACAGAGGACTTGATACAGAGTTGAGGCCCGGATTAAACCATTTTATTCGAAACACAGATTCTCCGACAGTCTGTCTCGTAGTAGAGCGTTTCACATTTGGTGAGGAGGTCCGGGAAGTCAGAGTGTATGTGTGGGTGGGGTGGGGGGGTGTTTGGTTTCTCTCTGTGTTGGGTAATGTTGGTCGGAGCACTGGAGTTTGTCCTCTGCAGTTCAGATTGAAGGTTGAGGATAAATAAAATTCACATTTTCTCTCACTTAACAGCTCTGTTGTTTCTTCTTTGGTCTCCCAGTCATGATCGCCTTTTATATCAGAGTCTCTTGGATTAAACCAAACCCCAGATCAGCTGTTTTTTTAAGGCTGAAATACTGTGAAACAGGAGCTCCTTCATTCACTAAATTTACTTTAATCTCCTTTCTGACTCAGAGGCCTGGCACTTACAGCTGCTGTGTTTTTAACTGTCAACAGTAGGACGTGTTGCCAGAAAGAGTAGTGTGATAAAATGCTGAGGAACAAAACCAATGTAAACAAAATAAATGTAGAACTTCCTGACCCTTGACCTGTAGGTATGCTGCAGTGGCAGGACAGAATAGACTAAGTGGCAGCAGCAAGTCAGAGTGAAACTGAACAGTAGTGATTAATGCTGGAATAATTTCCCGTAAACTTCTATCAGTGTGTGTTCTGGAAAGGAAAAAAGTAATAATTTGATTCATCAGCATTATCTCCTTCCTTAAAAACATCTGATATCAGCTGGAAGGAAGCCAAACTCCTTCAGTAGTATTACGATACCAACACTCCTAGAGATATTAAAATGTAAGTAAAAGTTTCCTGATAGCCGCCGTGGGTTTATATTGTTGTTTGCTTCACTTTCTGTTTCTGCTCTGGTAAGAGCTTTAAATCCACTCCTCAACCTGAATATGAAGGTAATTTAGGCTTATAATGAAATATTTTATTACATATATCCAAAAGTTTTCCTCAGGCGACTGTATAACTACTTTAATGTGTGTTGTACACCAGATACAAACTAAAAAGTAGTCATCTATGGAATTAAAAGAGAAAACATATTTTATAAAAAGGCAATTCAAGTATTGAGTAACTGTTGGATCATAACATCTAATATATGTTTAGAAATGTTGCAGTCAGTCAGACCTAAGCTGCAGGTTCTGGTATTTTAAAAAATAAAATACAAAAAAATAAGTAAATAATAAATTACACAATAACAAATAAAAAATTCACGTAGAGGAATCAATTTTTTCAAAACAGAAAAACATTTTTCAACATAAAACTTAGAAAATCATTCCTAGAGGATGATGAACTTCCTTTTTTTCCCCCAGTTTTTTTTTACTGTCATTGCACTGTCACAAGTACAGAGCAATGAAATAAACTCTCTGCATTTAACCCATCCCCTTGGGGAGCAGTGGGCTGCCATTGTGCGGCACCTGGGGAGCATTATGGGGTTAAGGGCAACTCCCTAGAGTGGCAGTCTGTGGGAGTGGGGCTTGAACTCAGAATCTCTGGATACCAAGCACAATGCCCTAACCACTAGGCCACCACTCCCCCGCGGCCAAGGGGTTGCAAACTTCCACTAACAACATCTGCTGTTTCCTGTATATATTTATCTGATCTGAAGTTACTCACAGTAGACAGAGCAACCAGTATTTTTAGCGAAGTAAGAGTAGCAATACTGAAAATAATAAGTACAGTTCAGTAAAAGTATTCCTAAAAGCTATTTTTCCAAAGTTTTACTCAACCCACCTCTGATTTTAGGGAATGGTAGCCCTCATCAACAATAATCAAAATGAGGAAAGAAGGTAAAAGACACGTAGCAAAGGCCTGAAAAGTGAAACTGACATTTTTTACTCTTCAAACCAAGGAACACCACTCCAATTACCATCTCCCTATAAAGTGACTTAGACAGAATTGGAAAATGGTGCAGTTCCCCAAGTCTGCCACAAGTTAGTGGTATGTTAATTGAAACTCAACAACATGCATAAAAGCTTTATAAAAACAGAGAAAAAATGAGCCATTTGTTTGGAAACCATCTGGTCAGCAACATTATGGAAGTAGATTTTCACAAATACACATATGTGATTCATACATGCACAGGATAAGATTCACATAAGGAGAAAAAATCCACACACAAAGGACAAGATCCACAGACACACAGATACAATTGTAGCAAGCACACAAGATCCACGCATGCACAGAACAAGGTTCCACAAGGTATTGAAAATGTGGTCAGACTCACAGTACACCTGGACGTGGATCTCCCTGGTCCTAATGACGGAGTCACACTCGGCCTCGCAGCTGTACCCTCCCTGATGCTGAAGGTCCAGGTTCCACAGGTGAAGCTGAGACCGCCCATCCCGCTGCTTCTTCTTCTGGAGGAGGGTTCGGTTCCGGTCTGTCCTCCTCCAGCTGAGAGTGGGGGGGTGCAGGCACCCTGAGGCCCTACAAGTCAGCGTAAGCGCTGAGCCCCGCTCCGCTGAGACCTGAGGGCTGGCCTCCACCTGTAGAGGGTGGGCTGGTAACAAGGAGGAACACATGGAGAGTGTGAGAGCAGTCCTGACGGGCAAAAATATCCAACATCTTGGAACAAAGGTACCTCTGACAGTGATGAACCTGGAGGTATGCTGGGAGCCATACTGATTGGAGGCTTCACACTCATAGAGGGCAGAGTCCTCAAGTACAGCAAAAGGGAGGCTGAACATGCATACGGAGGCGGACTCATTCCTGTGAAGCTCCTCCCCCTTCCTCTTCAGAACCAGTGTAGGAGGTGGAGCTCCCTCGGAGCCACAAGTAAAATTCACCTGCTGACCTTCCACCACCTCCTCACCTGGATCCACCAACAGGAAGGTCATGGTAGGCGGAGCTACGCGAGAAAACAAGCAAGTGTCAAAACCCAATAGAGACTACAAGAAGAAGACTGAATGAGACCGGAGCTAACTCTCACCAAGAACACTGACGTCTACAGCTGCAGTTTGGTTTCCCTCTGAGTTTATGGCTTTACACTCGTATCGTCCAGCATCAGAAAGTTCGACAGCCGACAGGACAAACAGACCATCAGGAGCAGAATGCAGAAACCTACCACCTACTGTCCAGGTGATGGTTGGCTCCGGGTTTCCCTCTGCAGAACAGCTGAGAGTCAGCGGAGAGCCCGCCATCACTTCCATGGGGCCAGATACATTCCTGAAGACCGGAGCATCTGCAGAGGAGGAAGATGAAAGGGAATCAGGATTTGGATCTGATTAGAAAAAGCAGGCTGAGCTGAGCGCCGACAGGACAGTGGACTGGAGGACACGGACAGGGGGACTCGGATTAAAACTGCATGTCTCAGAAAGACATCAGTCCATACTTACCTCAGACATCATGAGTCAGGTGAAAAAAAACTTTAAGATTTCATTTTTGGACTGAAGTAAAAAGTCATACAGTAGTTACAACTTTTGCATCAAAATGATAATGTTTTTCGTTTATGTTCTGCAAAAATAATATATCAACCACAGGATAACTAGAGTGGTATTGATTTTACTGAAGAAATATAGTATATAAATAATTGTTTCTTGACTTCTTAACTGGTCCAAAATACATAACTTTCTTCTGGTTAAGATGCCAAAGCGGCGCAGAAGGATTCCTCACCAATATGAATATCTATTTAAGGTTAGGCATTGCATGGGCTGCTCAGTTAAGCAGTGGGTAGCACTGCTGCCTTGCAGCAAGAAGGTTCTGGGTTCGATTCCCAGGGTCTTTCTGCATGGAGTTTGCATGTTCTCCCTGAGCATGCGTGGGTTCTCTCCGGGTACTCCGGCTTCCTCCCACAGTCCAAAAACATGACTGTTAGGTTAATTGGCTTCTCTAAGTTCTCCTTAGATATGAATGTGTGTGTGAATGGTTGTTTGTCCTGTGTGTCTCTGTGTTGCCCTGCAATGGACTCGCGACCTGTCCAGGGTGTACCCCGCCTCTCGCCCATTGACTGCTGGAGATAGGCACCAGCACCCTCGCGACCCCACTCGGGACAAGCGTGTCAGATAATGGATGGATGGATGGGTTAGGCATTGCCAGATTCTAATAGATAGAGCTGAGAAATGGCTTCTCATAGTTACATTTACTAAGATTTAAGCCAAAGGGAAGCATACAAGTGTGAAGGCTTTTGACTGTCAGTGCCAACATAAGGGGGTCATAGGGCAGATGAGTGTGGGTTTGCCACTTAATGGTTGCGAGAGGTTACACTTGCAGCTATCACCTTTAGGGAATTAACAGTATTATGAAAAGAAAACCATGCCTCAGAAATGGCACAAAAGAGTTAGCCCTGGCATTAGTTAAACACAAACACCAATAATAAAACCTTACAACTCAAGACCCTGCTTCTGGAAATCAAACCCTGATTATACACTTTGCGTTCTAATTCCAGACATCGACATCGATCTAATCAAATCCGTGATCAACCCAGATTGATCACATATTAGATCAGGGGTCTGAAACCTTTACAATCCAAAGTGTTTTTTTTTTACTTCAGTCCATCTAATACATTTAGTTTAGACATGCAAATATTTCCAGACGCTTTAAAACAAACAAACAAAAATGTTAATATAACAGATATCAACCACAGATTGCTAATTTTCTCTTTTTAAAAGAGAAAAAGATAACTTATAAGTAATCGATATCTACCACAGAAAATGTGTACGTTTTAAACACAGTGCTATTTAAAATGTTATGTTTTGATGAAGAAACAAACTTGTGAGAAGAGGATAATATAGTTTCAATGGATTGTTGTTATTTTTTAGATAGTAATGTTAAAAAAAACTGAAATTTTCCTACATATGATTTCTGGTATAATTTGAGTAATTTTTTTGGGATGGGGTTATGTGTTGTAATTAGTCAGTGGAGTATAATACTAAAACATGCATTTGTTAGAATAGTTGTTGCTCAAAACATTATCTGGCTCTTCATCATTTTTAGCCAAAGTGATGAAGAGCCATGGTTGAGTGTCTAAAGAGCTGTTTGGGGTCTGGAACCACAGATTGCAGATGATGGTATTGGGACTCGGATACAGGACCTCTGGACCCAGGCCTCTAACAGGCTGAGAAGAAATGGACAAACTTAGTCACAAACTCACAGAGGACGTTTATATGGACTGTGGTCTCTCTCGTCCTCTTCTCAGATGGCAGACCTTGAAGCTTGAGCGTCACCCGGCAGGTGATGTTCCCCCCAGAGTCCTTTTTCTGAGGCGTGTAAGTCACTGAGCTAGACCCTGACTGTGTGTTAGTGCTATTCAGAACTGTGTTTCCTTTAAGCCAGGTGAAATCAACATCTTCAGCAGAGTAGAGGTGTGGGACCTGGCAGGTGAGGGACGTCACCACGTTATCTCTCAGGTGGTCATGACCTGTGATTACAGGGTCTGAAGGAAAGGCTGAAACCAGAAGAGGAAGGTGATTTTAGGTTCATAGCATGAAATGAGACGAGAATAATAATCTCTTGGTCTATAAACTCACAGTAAACTGAGACAGAGGTCCGGATCTCTGCCAGTTGTCCTGCACACATGACTTTACATGCCATCTGTCCCTCGTCTTGTATTGTCACAGAGTTGAAGGTCAGAACAGAGTGGGTCCTGTTGGTGGCGGTGGACGCCAACAGAGGACGGTCGTTTACGGTAAACCAGGAAATGTCAGGTACTGCTGAACACTCCTGAACCTGGCAGACCACCTGCTGGAGCGTGCCGAGCTTAAATAGAGGCTTCCTGGGAAACACGTTGACACGGAGACCCTGAACGCACCACGATGACATCAGCAGTATCACTAGAGGGGACAAAAAAATAAAATAAAATTGAAAAATCTTTAAACATCTGCATTGATAAACCAACTGGTCATGGATGTTTTCAGATCTTCACTGCTCTGAAGTTTTAAAGAATCTTCTGTAATATTAATTTGACATGTTGAATGGGTTCAGATTTATTGCTTTAGCTTCACTTCATTTATGTTTTATTTATCCGTCCACTGTCTATCACCTACCTGCACCTCACAGTCATTGGATCTGTGGCACAAAGTAGCACTCTGATTCGTTACCTGCACCTAGACGTCAGTTTAGGACAGCCAATGAAATCTGAGGCCAATCATTGTTCAAGCCTGGCAAGATGGAGGAAGATGATCCTCTAAGGAATGATAGACCTCGTTTTTTTGCTGTGGATTTATCCTTTTTTTCTTCCTAAAGATGTCTACACAACTATAGACAAGTCACTTCTTACTTCCTTTATTTTTCTCAAATTTTACATCAAACACCTCAAACAATGCAGAGAGGTTTCTGCCTATATCTCCTTACAGGACCTAAAAACCTATTCCCCATCAGTGAAACTGTCATATTTGGGATTCCACAGATTCAGGCTGTTGGTGATTATGAGCCTAAAGAATGGATCTTATAACATTTTTTTTAGATAAAGGAGCTTTAATGGGTAAATTTTGCATCCCTGCAGCTAACAGGAGTCCATTTAACCTGACAGTCAAAGGTGACTTCAGCAGTTATGTGTTTTAGAAATGCCTTTGGCTGTATTCTTCTTGCCAAAACGAATGAGAATAATTAGCAGGGTCTAAGTGTAGTAGGAAACACTTAATGTCAGAGATTTAATGGGAGTTAAATCCCCTAAATTGTTAGAAGGTGAGCACTAAAATGAATCAGAACTCTTACTGTATAGCAGAGTAAAAACTCTTATAGCAACTTTTAGCGGATTGCAACTTGGGCTTAAAGCCTAGATTTCTGCTGCGAAGCAACATTACTAACCCAATTTACCCAACACAATGACTTCTTTAAAGTAAACAGTTTAAATATGCAGAAAACAAGTGCTTGTAGGAAACTATTTATAACTTTGTGTTTGCATAAATACGTTGGCATATCACGCAGAAAGAAGAGGCTAGAACATTTCTGCCTCTTTACCCCCAAGTTTCTAATTATGTTTTTATGTTATGTTAAAGTCTGAAACAATAACATGTTACACAAATTATATCAATATGATTCATGCACAATGCTATAGTTTAACCATAGTTTTGTCTCAATGTTGTCCAGACTGTATATAAAAAGGCTCACATCGAACCACTCTTTGAAAAAGTATTAAGATATTCTTCACTCTGCCCTCTAATTCTGATTACTTTGCATTCCACAAGTAAAAATGTTTAATATTTTGTAAACCGAATACAAAAGAAGTCAACCCCCCCAGAAAACATCCCGAAAGCCAAGCCACTGATTAAGAAGTTAAGCCATTTTAGAAATCTTTCTGCTTGGAAGAAACAAAGAACAAAGGCGAGGCTGAGTTTTGCACCGAACTGTATGATGAGAACCAATAGCAACAAAATAGGGGTACAGGACATTTAACAAAATGAAGCATAAATGATTCATTTTGATTTATTTTTGTCCTGAAATGACCACTTTTCCTACAACCACAGAAGATCTTTGTTATTATTCAACTACTTTGCAAAACAGTCTTTTGTTTGCAGTCAGCAGGTTAAATGTCAAACATCTGGAGCTGATTTTCCAGGAGAAACTATTTTAGTTTCTATGCTTTATTCCAACAGAAACAAAAACAGAAAATTAAAATAAAAAAATTAAAAAAACTTCTGACTGAATGAGACATAATCAGAGAAGTTAATTCATTTCAAGGTATTCTTACCCCCCAAACAGGTGATGTCTTATTTCATTGCCAATGAACCAAACTTCTTTGTTTTAATTTTTCTGATTTCTGTCTGACCTTTAGTTCAAGAAATCGCCTAAACAGAAGCCGTCTGACAACACAAAGCAGGTTAAAGGGGCTCAAGCAGCAGCATATCCTGCCCACATCTAAAGAAATAAAATAACTTTGGGACTCCAGAGAACAGCAGTCAAAACCATGATTTACTGTACATTAACAGATTTGATACATAATGCTTTACTGCTGGGACATTGTTCTGCATATGGGTTTAAAGAATTTGTTCTTAGATCTAGGAAAAGCTGTTTGACAGATTTCAGTCTGTGCATTAAAGTTGTAGTTTTTCTACCAACTGGAGACAGGATTGTGGTGTCCCTCAGAGAAGTTGTTTGGTCCCCTTCTTTTTCCTATTTTTACAAATGACTAAATACCCGATGATGCAACCAATAATAGAGTTGTAAATTTGAAACCGCAAAGTTAATTAGACGTGGTTTCCAGAGGGTTGGACAATAATAGACTGGTTTTAACACAATGTCTAAATCTTGCTTCAAATTATTCATTGAGGAATGTTGTGCCATTGTCTCTCACTCTGAAAGCAAACCTCAGTTGCAGAAGTTTGACATTTTAGGTTTAAATATGGATGAACAATTAAACTGGTCTAGTCAAATTGATAAGAAAGTGGCTATTTCTGTCATTAGAAGCTGTGCCTACTTTATGTCATACTTTTCAAATAAAGAAGTCATACAACCATTAGTATTGTATTTCCTTTTGATTATTGATCAGCCATATGGTCCTGTGCTCCAGAGAAACACATAAGTAAGCTTCAAATATTGCAGAGCAAAGCTGCGCAACTGACTGGAAGAGGAGGACGCCAGACATACTGGGCAGGCCCAAGCAAGTAGTACAGATCTGTTGGGAATGTCTTGTGGAGCACTCGTTAAAGGATGTGCACAACTCCCGGATCCTGGAAGAGGCTGGGGACATGAGGTCTGAGTGGGCCATCGTCTCTGCCTCAACGGTAGATGCAGCTGCCTGTAGCTGTCGCCATAAGGCCTGTGGTGCCTGCAGGGAGACAATCTCTGAACCTGGTGGTGGTAAAGGCAGTAAAGGATGCTTTCAAGCTGAAGAAGGAGTTTTGTGGGACTCCTATGGCAGCAAGACATCAGGCATGCTGCTGACCAGGTGGTCAAAGAAGCGAAAACTCAGGCCTGGGAGGCCAATGGGAAAGAATATCATTTGTCCTCAAAGCAATTCTGGCAAACTTTCTGGTGTCTCCGGAGGGGAAAATAGTGCTTTTCTAACACTGTTCTCATTTGAGTGGGTAGCAGCTGAGTACATAACAAGTGGGACAGTAAGGTGGGTTCCAACTATAGAGGGAACCACACTTCTCCGTATCCTTAGGAAGATCTAATTCTGGGTGCTAGAGTGTCTGGCTGAATGTTGAACCTCTGCTTCAGGAGGAGCAGAGTGTTTTTGTCCTGGACATGGAACAGTGGACCAGCTTTACACACTCTGCATGGTAATAAAGGGTGCTTGGAAGTTTTCACATGAGTTCTATGGACCAGGTAAGGCACCCCTCACCCTAGTGGTGCCCTGTGTGTGGGTGCTTCAGGAGTAAGGAGCTGGGGAGCATCTACTAAGGGCCATATCGTCTCTTTATGAACGAAACAATTGTTTTATCATTTTGGTCAATATGGTCAATTTTGACAAATTCCTGGTGCATTTTAGACTCCAGCAGAGCTGCCCTCTGTCATTGCCCCTGTTCACAGCCTTTATGGAAATAATTTGTAGCCACATCCAAGGGCCAGAAGGGATCTGATTTGACAACTTACAGATTTCGTCCCTCATTAATGTAGTGGTTCTGCTTGCTTCCTCTTGTCTGAGGCCGTGGTTCTCAAACAGAAAAAGGTGGCTTGTTACCTTCTGGTTGAAGGTGAGTTCCTGCCTTAAGTGGATGAATTCAAGTATCTTTGAGTTAACAAGTGAGGGGGAAATAGAGCGGGAGATTGATAGACAGATTGGTGCAGCTGCTGCTATAATACAGACGCTGCATCAGCCTGAGTGGCAAAGAGGGAGCTGAGCGAAAATGCCAAGCTCAAGATTCATCAGTTGGTCTACATTCCTACCCTTACCTATGGTCATGTAATCTGGATCATGATCGAATATATGCAGGAATGACCTTCCTCAGCAGGTTGTCTGGGCAATCCCTTAGGGTAAGGAGCCATTCAGTCATTCGGATGAGGCTTGGTGTAAAGCCGCTTTTCCTCCACATCGAGACATCTTTTTCCGATGCCCCCTGGATGCTTCCCTTTGGGAGATGTTCCAGGCACCTTCCACTAAGAGGGGGGTCAAAGGGAGGACCCAGGAAACGCTGAAGCGCTGGCTCGGCAGCACCTCGGGCTCCCCCAGCAGAGGTGCAGGAGGTGTCAGGGGAGCCTGGAAGTCTCTACAGAGACAAATGCTCCCCGACCTGGTCCTGGTTTATGATGATGATGATGGGTAGGAGATTTTGCAGTTACTAGTATATTCTATAACACTTTCTATGTATTTATTCGGTGACGGTCCTCAGGGAGACTTAATGCTACCCTAGTGGGCTACTAATGGGGATCTTGATAACAAATAAACAACTGGAAAAATGTTGGATTGAGAAGAAACTTCCCAGAAAACGCCAATATACCACAAATACTCCAAAGAGCTTCAATGGCTCAGGCAGTTGTAGCAGAAAAGCTAAAGTTCTCAGGACTCACTACTACAGCAGAGGTCATGGTGCAATAATAAAGTTTTCCCAAATGTCTTCATATTAGATACACATATATATATCATGTAGGCAGTGGTCTTGAGTCTCTCCAAAGGAGGCTATTAAAAAAAAATCGAACTTAACAGATCAGAAATTTACCATTTTTCTGACAGTCAAACATGGTGATGGAAAGAGAGGCGGCCTGAGGCTGCTTGGCTGGATCAGAACCTGGAAGATATTCTGTCATTTATGGAAGCGTGAATTGTGTTCTCCACAGAAGGCCTGACCTTGAGTTTGTGACTAAGCTCCAGCACACCGGGGTTATATAGCAAAATAATGATCAAAAACACAGCAGCAAATCCACCTTTGAATGGCTAAAAAAAAAAAAAAATAATCCACTAGAAAGTTAAAGCAGGACCTTAAAAAGCCAATTTATACACAGAAATCCTCCATCTTGCTAAATAAGAACAATTCTGCAAAGCAGAGGGGATTAGAACTCATCCAGTGATGTTAGACTCAGTGTAAGTTATACATGCACAATGGCAGGTGGACAGACCAGAGATGAAGACAACAGAGCAAGATTAACTCTGTAACCATGACTTAGAAGCAGTGTTTGTTAGTTATGTGTCCGATGTTAACAAATATGTGAACACAGAGCCCTTCGTACATTAAATCAGTGTCCATCTGTGCTGTCTCTGGGGACATGTTGCTCTGCATGTCAAACATGGTTTGCTGTTCAAACACACCTGTTTGAAATGTTTTAACTCTGTGGAGGTCTGATGTTGACTCCCTCTTTTAACTCAGCTGTGTTTGAGACAGCAAATATTGAAAACAAACAGTGCTAGACTAAAAAAACGCTGCTTTGGGGCTGTGAACATGGAGCAGTCAGAAAACCCTGATCACCGGAGACAAAAGTGGAGCCCTGTTCAAAGAAGACGCCGAATAAATTTACAAAAACATAGGACAAAACAAATAAATACAGAGCAGAGCTAACAGTCTTTATTTCCTTTGACAAGAAATGTGGTTCAAATCCTAAAAATGCACAATACCTCTTTACCTTTCAGACTCTGATTAACGCATCAGTCATTTAGAATAAACAAAGGAACGTGTTTTCTGAACCTCTGACCCATCAGGTGATCACCTGATGATTAAAGCTCCAGATAAACTGACTGTAGAGGTAAAGCATCTGTGCTCTTTTTGATATCTAATACACATTAATCAAATGTGTATTAGAAAATCTGACCATTTTAGAAGAGCTTTTTTACGCTGTCTGTGCTGTTTTCTTATTTAAATGAATGCAGAGCAGCTGAGAGGTTTCAAAAGGCAGCGTCTAGAACCATTAAAACGCATATATGAGCTATCATCTGCTCTGGCAGGTTTTACAGACTGCTGAGTGTGAATATGAAGCAGAGAAATCCTGAATCCCACCTGAGAGGAGCTGAACAAAGCTCCAGTGGTCCTGCAGCAGGTCCATCCTCACTGTTCACTGGAAGGATGAATGGATCGATGAAACAGCAGCAAAGCAGCGACTCCTTTGTGTTCCTGTTTCTGAATCTGAGGCAGAAAATGAGCTTGACACATGAAACACCCCCCACACCTCTGATGAAACAAAACGCCCCCCTTGAAGCTGGCTGCATTTTATATCTGGGAGCCCAGAGCACCCTCTGCAGGACAAAATGCTGACCATGTTTTTCACTTTCATTATGCCTTTTTCTTTTCCCTGCATCCCCCCCTGGCAGGGCCTTTGTATCTGTGTGAAGGTCGGTGGACTCATGAATATAAACATGATGAGCTTAAATCACTGAATGCAGCTTTAATCTATCTCTAACAGCACTAATTAAATCTCTTTCACATCCAAAACCACACATCCTAATGCTCAGTTAGTTTATAAGAGGAAATGAGATTAAGTGCTGTTTGTTCTATTCTAAATTTCTAGAAGAGACACTATTTAAATCAACAAATTGGTCACTTAATAAACATTCTAAGATGTGATCTTTTAAACAAAACTGGCAATACATGCAATAAAAAGCCCGACAGTTTTTCCATAATTTAATTTCTTAAAAATGTAGAAAAAAATAAAAAATCATAAATCTCTATGAACAAGATTGCCTTGAAGTTTTTTGAAAGATATTTTTCAACTCCTTTTAACTCCAGCTGAGTAGAATTATCACACTATTTAATAGATTTTTGCAGTGCTTTTAATTTTTCTGTCTATTTGTTGTAGTTTAGATGTTCCCGTCTTAAAAGTTAATTGCAAATAAGTCAACTCATCATATTTTTATGCATTATTTTGTTTGATGTAAATTGGTAATTAGTTAAAACATGATTCAATAATGTAATGGGAAAATCCGTAAATTTTAAAAAACCTTGATTTTATTGAGCATTTCTATACATTTTCAAACCATTCAGATGGTTGACCTTCCATAAGGCATACAGATAGTTTGAAACATAAAACAAAAACTTAAATAAGTAATAACATCAAGATAATGTTCAACTTTAAATGATGATTTCCGCAGGTTGTAAACTGTGCATTTAGAAAAGGTTAATTTTAGAATTAACTTTATTGGGCAAGTTTGCAAAGAAGGCTTTATTGGGTCATTTTGAACTAAGAAGGTAAATAAATTTATTTCATTCATTTTTTCTTATATGTAAAATTTCTATTTCTTTGGCTTTGGGTTCTTGATCACTTGCAGGTTTTCTGGAAATTTTTTTCCAACTTGCTGGGAAAAAAAAGTTCAGCATTTCAAACAGAAATGTCCAATTTGAGTTATGTATCCCTTGTAAATGAATTATATCTACATCTGTTTTGTCCTGTTAGTTTTCAGTAGATGGCTTCAGCATCAAAAAAAATATTCAAGTTTTATTTATCTCACATTGGAGAAATTTACATCTGGATTTAACCCATCCCCTTGAGGAGCAGTGGGCTGCCATCATGGGGCACCCAGGGAGCAGTGTGAGGTTGTTCAGAGACCCTGAGTGGCAGTCTGTGGGAGTGGAGCTCAGACTCAGAACCACAGGATTCCAGGCTCTATGCCCTAACCACAATCATGCAATTGAAAAAATATTTCAATTGCGTAATTTTTGCAACCCAACAAAACCAATGCTGTAGAGATTGGGGTTGTTGGGGATATCTGTAGAAATGTGTTTTTAATAATGCTTACTGTGCTAAAATGCGTTGTGCTCCAGGTATGATATCAAGGTGTTAAAATCTCATCCAGTTGAATTAACTGGTAACAGACAGAATTACATTTTAGTTATATTATTCTATAACCTTGATATATAGGTGCTCTTATTAGGATTCCTGTATATATATTTTTTATAGAAACAAAATTTCCCAGAAATCTAGGCTCATTTCTCATAGAACTGAAATGACATAGAAAGGAAGAAAGGAGCGATACAGAAATGGATGAATGGAAAGATGAACCCTATGAAGGAATCGATGGACAAATATATGCAAGGATGGAAACAACATGGATGGTGAATCAAGATGGATAGATTCAAATAGAAGAAGTTGACCTCTTTTTACCTTATATTAATAGAAATCTGATAGAAACTTCATTTGACTCGGATAAACAGTGACAAGATAGTCATTTTATTTCCCATTTGTAGTTATATAGAAACTCGGCTGAGAGTTAAAAGAAAAAACTACAACATATTTTTCCGACTTCCCTTTTAAGTCTCAATGTGACATAAATACAGGTTAAAAACATTCACGAATAAAACATCAACAGCTACATTTGAATATCTTCCTGTTCAGGCTCTCCATCCTTCTAACATTACTTCAGTTTGTGTTGGAAGCTCTGATCCACAGTTCTGGTTGATCACATCCTGTCAATTAGGTTCAACATAGAAATGATCCCAGCAGTGTGACAGAACCCAAACCTTCTCTGACCCGTTAAATGAGAGACTGAGGTGGTCATAAGGTATAGTGGAGGATGTTCTTTTTCTGGGTGGATCATCAAAATAAGTGGTCCTCCTAATTGTCAATCATTCTGGTGATATGTTTTTGTAAGGCCATCCTATGTGTTCATCCCGTTAGCCATCTTTTTCTATGCATGCATACTTTCAGGTGTATATGTGTGGTGAGCTACGGTTTCAGACAGTCATTAAAGCTCATCTTTCTCACCGCGGTTCTTTGAAAATGGCCGAGGGTCATAAAAGAAAAGGTGTCCACGAAGTGTATGAGAAGAAAAGAAAGGCCCCTGAAGATGCAGATATATCCGGCACAGAGCTCTCTACGTAAAGCATTATGGGATTTGCTCTCACAGCGGCCCCACTGTCGCTACCCTACAACGGCGACTAATAAAGTTACAGACACCGCACACTAAGGGTGGAATTGCGTGACGAACAGGGAGCAAATAGTAGTGATCATTTGTCCGAATGGTAAGTTAACGGAGTTCACTATAAAGTCTGTAGTCGCTCTATATAGTGATTGAGGGATTTAGGGGTTAGGGCGGATGTAAGGTTGTATGAGCTCAGAGCGTGCATGAGGAGAAATGGGCTTGTGCATGCTTTCGCACACGTTTAAAAGGCGTTCCTTCTTGGGAGCGGGTACAGGGTTGTGGATGTGCGTTTCCTTTTATTAAAGTGGAGAGGTCTTTTAAAAAAAATGTGAAAATCCTCCACTATACCAATGAACAAATATTGCTTTATGTATTTTTCCTGATCAGATATACTGGGAAAAAAGGCCAATCATGTTCCGTTCTTAAACATTAACAAAAAAACACATTTTTTTTAATTTTTTTTTGTTTTTTTTTATGACAGCTCTTTTTTTTTTTTTTTTTTTATGACAGCTCTTTTAGTAAACAAGATCATTAAAATATAACAGTCATGTTATAGAACATTACATGTGCTGAGTGTACTAAAGCGCCCTCTAAAGGCAGCTGCTGGTGTATCATGATAAAATATTTCAGTCTGAATGCATCAATAAAACACTTAAAAATTCTGGTCATGTCTCCAGTCTTCAAGGCAACTAAAATATATATTAAAGAGTAAATTGTGTGAAAAGTTCTACATATTTTATTGCATGTTTTAGTTTTCCAGATGTGCTGGAATATGCATAAGAAGAGAATACATTCCTTCGTACTATTTGAGTTGGTGTCAATTTACAACCTGAGTTGTTCTGTACTCTTATCTTGCTTCATATTAAGTTCCTTACATTATAGTTGTTATATTTTACTGCTAAAAGCTGAACTTTAAAGCTTTCTTAAGGCGTCTTAACGCTCTGAATTCTCCTTCAGTCCCCTGAGTTAAGCTGTTGACAGCCTCATCTGGTCCCTTCTACTTGCATCTTCATTTTTGCTGTCAAACAGAAAACTCCCCCCTTAACATTGATCAGTACCATCAGCAGGAAAATCGGCAACTGAACTGATCGGACTGGACGTAAATACTGTAACCATGGCGATGGGGTGAGTAGCCATCAGCTGACCCCCCTCCTCAATTATCAAAAAACAAACCCTCAAAAATACTTGATGTCATTAAACAAAAATATTTCCTCTTCCACAACAAAATATAAAATATAAAATTTGACTCTAGTGTAAAATACATGTTCAGCAAAACACGTGTATATTTATATACAGGTTCATTTAAATACAGTCGGAGCTGGGAAGACATTCAGTCCAGAGAGACAAACTCTCACTCGTTAATCCTGTTTCCCTTTTTAAAACCGTTGCATTCAGCAGCATTCAGATGGGAATTGTGATGATGGGGAGGTGGTTCAGATAATCAGGTCGAACTTCTCGTTTTAGTACTGGATGTATTCCGACTGAAGAGACTGAAAAAGAAAACATGGAAACAGAGTCAAATGTGTAAGTACAAGTTTTCTCACAGTGAAAATAAAAATTACGCTTGAAGAATAAAATGATGTCAAGCAAATCCTCGCTGGACCTCCCTCACATATAGAATGTGTTAAAATCTGAGCTTTCATTTTTATAAACTTAAGAGCACTGGACAGGTTCCCATGTGGATTAGGGTTCATATGTCCTGATATGCAAAGCTGTGGTCCAGCTAGTTAGCTCTACAGTTAGGCTTCTTTAGGCTTAGGCTGCCAGAGGACTCGCTGTCAACTTTCTTTCCTACAAAAAGTCTACGAGGAGCAGATGTCTCCATCAGTATTTTTTTCCACAATCAACTATGAAAATTATGAAATTACTTCTTTAAATGAATGATAACAAGCCTCATGGATGACTAAAAAATGAAGACGTGCATGATTTTTCATTGTTTAGATGAAAATGTTCAGGAGTTAATGACATCTCTGCCTATAATCCATGTGACCTTTCAGTTAAAAACTGAAATAATGCTAAGCCTCATCCTATGCTTATTGGACCCTGCCCACTATCACCTGAGAGCGGTCAATGCCTGCTGAAGACTAGCTTGATGGTCAGACACAAAGGAAGATCCTATAGATACAATTCCAATATGATGTATGGTAGAGAAAGAGTGGTTCATGCAGATATAAAGGGAAATACCACAGCAGCACCTTAAAGCTCTTTGCAAATTAAGGTCCTGTAAACTTCAGGTTCAGATTTGGTTGGTTGCTCCATCAGTAGTTAATTAGTTTTGTATTACTATATAATACACAGTAATTTATGGGCGGACAGGAAGTGTGATTTTCCGCAAAGTTGTTCACGTTCAGTTAGCATGTTATGCTAAATATGATCTATGAACATCAATCATGAGATCGATTTTATGATGGCTGGGATAGTATGCTGCACAACAGTAGTAATTGTCAGGTAACAGCACACGAGAGAGATGCGTGGTGTCTGCTCAGAGAAAAACAATGCAATGGCCGGCGCTTTAAATTGGTGGTCTTCATAATGACGAGTTGGTCACCAATTGTTACTGATCAAGTGAAACTCGTCCGATTTCAGAGCACTACAGATTAAGAAGTGCAAGTCTAGAGGACATTGTTGAAAACAACTCATAACAGCAGACTGTAATTTGCCGAACTACATATCGGCGAGCCATAAAGCATCCGGGATAATGTCCCATGAACCGATGAGACAAAATGGAGCGTTCCATCAAGGCAAATCAGCTCCATGTTCAATGACAGAAAAATGAAGCAAATCAAGAAAAGAACACTGTCTCTACTTTTATGTTCTGGGGCTGTTTCCTTCATTACAATGGTACAAGAGCATCAAGGGATTCTAGAGAGAAATGTGCTCCCCAGTGTCAGAAAGCTTGGTCTTATTCATGGGTCTTCAACAGTATAATGACCCAAACCACACAACTGGAAACACCAAGAATAGCGAAGAGGAAAATCATTGAACTATTTCGAAGTGGTTTTCTATAAGCCCTGATCTACTTCCTGTTGATAACACCTTTGGAAGGAGCTAAAACAGGCTGCCTGGAAAAGGTCACCTTCAAACCTAAGACAACCGGGGAAGTTTGCTCATGAGGAGAGGGGCCAAAATCCCTACTGAGAGGAGCAGAAGTCTCTTTGACAGTTACATTTGGTTACAGTGATTGCTTTAATTTAACAGAACCATCATTTTTGTATTTGATCTTTTTTTTTTTTAATCACTCCATTTAAGCATTCTTGAAAAGCAATTTTGACTTTCATTTGGTCAATTTCACAGAATTAAATTTTTCATTACGTCTGTCAGATTCAGATTTCTCTGTGACCACTGTGTTTTCTCTTTTATTTAGTAAGGGTACCAACAATTTCTAACTTGTAATTAAAAGGAAAATAAACTGTGATGCTGTGAGATGTTTTAGTTTCGCCTTCGGTGTTGTTCAATCCCCTGGTAGAGTCCAGCCCACTATCTAAAAGATAACCCCTACCCTTTAAATTTGCATAGGTCCACATTCTGGTGGCAAAGGACAAATTGTTCTCAGGGTGAAAAATGTCCCTCTCCTGTGAAGGCTCTCCTATTCTCCCCATGTGTGGACCATGGTTCTCATGGTGGTTCTATGGAGTTACAAGGCCTCAGCAGTATCTCTGTAAGCATCTCCAACCTGAAACACATCTAAGGGCTGGTTTTTACTACCTCCACCAAGGAAGTTATGTTTTTAGAAGAGTTTGTGTGTTTACCTGTGTGTGTACAGAATAAGTTGAAAAGTTATGAATTTTATTTACATTTTTATCCCTCATACGAAGGAAGAATCCATTACATTTTTGTGATGATCCAGATCATAATCTGGACAGAGGAACTTTTAAAAAGATTCTCTAACATCATGAGAAGGGGATATTTCTCCACTAAACCAGAGGGTGGAAGCAGTTACTATTGCAGTCTCTGCATTCCGGAGATATTTTACTGAAGACAAAAATACAAGAAAAGGGAATGTTGTTGGTTTAAAGTTAACAGGATCAATTGAAAACTTATGAATGGATTTCATGGATTTTTTATTTTTTTTTGTTTACAAGGAGGTATGCCTCATTAACCTGACTCCGGCAGATGGATTTGCTGGATTTGCTCCGCATATCTGCGAGTGAAACCTTGAAAGCTCGCGAGATCAGGATCGTCTCACGAGGCTAGTGCCTCATACCAATTTGTTTAAATTTGGTAATGATCCAGGTCATGTGCAAGTTTTAGCTATACGTGTAAGTTACAATTTGAGGCAAATTTTGCTGCTTGGCGGAGGTCTGCACTCTCCAAGTGCTTTTCTAGTTTATTCTTGATTTAATTTATATCCAAACAAAATGCGTTTCTTTTTAAAATATTTCATTTTCATCTCACACACTTCAGATAATAAATAAAATTTGTTACTGAGAGAATTTTTTATTTAAAAAGGCTACTGTTGGGTCTAATATTTTAATTAGTTTCAAAAGCATTTAAATGACAAAAATGTCAAACCAGATATTAATCAAGAAGAATATCCAGGACTATATATGAAATAAGTAGATGACTCTACAATCAAAAACTATCTAAGAAATAATTAAACCAAGTTTTGATCTACTCTAAACAAATATTTCTTTTTTTTCTTGAAGCTCTGTTAAGTATCGCAGATTAAATTAAACCATCACATATTTGACAGATTATAATTTAGTTGGATTGCAACAGTTTTGGACTTCAGGAGCTTGGTACATGTGGTTTGAGACCAACCTGACAGGACAAAAAGAAGCAGCTTCAGGCTAACCAAATGAAGCTCTGTGATCAGAAACCAGAGCATCGACTCCCTTCTAATTGCATTTATGTCTCAGTCATCTGTCTGCATGATTTCAGTGAATTTGCCTGATGCCAACTGAAACTGATCTTGTGGGTACCATATTGTGTCAAGATCAGGGATCTTGTGGTTTGAAAAAACAATGTTGAGTTTGAAATAAATAGGTCAACAGGTCAATAAAGTCAACAGGGTTGACAGAAGTTGGTAAAGACGTCATTGTTGGAGTCTGCATTTTTTTTTTTTTTTTTCCTTATTTTTTTCCTACTTGCTTTGATTGTTTTATTTTCCTATATTTTAATCATTTAAAGCACTTTGCATTGTCTTTGCACTGAATTGTGCCATACAAATTAATTTGCCTTGCCTTGAAAGATCACCATAAGCAAATTGAGATGGCTGATTGGTCAGCTGCTGACGAGACTTCAAAGTGGACTGACAGATGATGTCAAGTCAACTTTCTCATAAAGCGCCTCAAGATGACGTGTAGTGAAAATATAAATGGCCTTTTATTGAAGCAAATTGTTTCACACAAATTTGTTGCAGCATTTCCTCATCTCAGCAGCAGCTTAGAGTGAAGTTAAAACACCGATGGAGAGAAATACCCCAGCTCCCTCTGATTAACACATTAGAAAGAAATGGAAGGAATCTACAGATTTATAGAGACAAACCATCACAGGAGACATAACAGACTTCATACAATGGTTAAAAAACCCCCAAACATTTAAAACACTTGTAAAGAGCCATAATGATGAGTCGCTCATTTTATATGTGGCTCTTAGTAGAATTAGAGATGCACCAGTAAGGTTCTTTCAGACCAATACTGATCTCTGGTTTTCTTTAGGACCTAAGCAGCGAATTCTGGTACTTTTGATTCTAAGGAGCAAAAAAGGAGAAACAAACATGCTGCAGGTTCTTTGATAGAGGCAGAAGGGATGGGCGATATAGAAATAAAACATTATTTTTGGGGTATTTAAATACAAAGATGACAGTTTATCACAGATCTAAGAGGAATAAAATTGGTTCTGGTTGACTGATCGGTGCATCTTTAATAACTGAGTTTTACAGTAAGGAAACACCTTATCACACATAACAAACAGAAGAGTTCAGAAACACATGGAAAACAGAACTGAAGCATTCTTTAACGCTGTTCTCCATGTGCAACTGAAGCCAGAAAAAAAAAAAAGAAACAATCAGATCAAAGGGGAGGGGGAAAGCTGCTGCTGCGTCAGAGGACTTACAGGTATGGAGCGGCTCAGGTAACGTCCTGAGGGGCCCTTCATGGCGCTGTAGGGCCCGTGGCCCCTGTAGCCACCGGCATCCTGATGCGGTGGTCTCATATAACCCTTGCTGGCAGGGGGTGCCACAGAACCGCTGTACAAGGTACTGTTGTTGTTGACCTCGTGTTGCATGCTGCGCGGCCCACTACCATAGTTGGACAGAGAGGGTGGGGCCAGAAGAGAGGGGGAGGAGCTTACAGAAACGGAGGGGGAAGAGGAAGGCGGAAGAGAGGAGAATAGAGTCTTCTCATCCTCCTCGATGTCGGCGCCATAAAGATCTCCGAGAGAGTTGGCCAATCGCGAGCCAAAAGCTGAGCTGAGGTCAGCAGATGTGGGAGGAGCAAATACAACATACATGAATATCATGAGAGCTGAAGCTAATGTCATTTGACATGTCAGAAACATTATGTAGTATCACTTTCCTCTGCTCTCAGTTTGGAACGGGAGAGACAAACTACAAGTTATTTACTAAATCCTTAAACTACAGAGGGTAAATATGTGACGAAAGAAGTAGTTAGTGGTGGTTGAATAATTAAATTCAGTCAGGAATGAAAAGACTGCATTAAGACATGAAAGAGTAAACATCAGGTTGCATGTTCTTTTAAATAAATGAAATGAAACCAAATCAATTACTCATTTGGGTAAATATAAAAGAACAACCAGATATTCATTCCCGTCTTTTATGATGAATTAGCAGGCTTCTTTTTAACAGCTCGGACCAGCTCATGATTTATTAGAATAATCAATTAGTAGAGAGCAGCAGGACAAGAGGAAGAGGCCGGCCTGATGAATACAATCAGGATGTAATCAAAACAGAACAAAGTGATAGAATTAAGGATACTGATGAAAAGGACAAGGGGAGGACTGCAGGAGTAAAGTATGAGATGATGATGAAGAGCAGGCCCTGACCTTCGAATATTTGTCATCGGCGATAACGAGTTCCTCCCAATCCTCTTGGCAGCAGCAGAAGTAGAGGATGCTGCAAACTTGGAGGGCTTTAGAATTGAGGCGGGACTCTGGCTGCTCCCAATAGATGCCCTAAAAGCACATCAATTGTGATCAGTACTAGTTTTCTCACTGGTTAGACCGTCCAATGCCATTAAATGAAGACCGTACCTCAGGGGCTGTGAACTTGAGTGGCTTTGAATATTTGTCTCCTCAAATCTGAAACAAAACGAAATGCATCAGCCTCCATAACTACCCCCACCTTCCTGAACAAACACCTACTGTTCCTCGTCACATAAACCTGGTTGAAAATCTTAAAGCCTTTTTTTAATCCAAACAGATCCCCCTGGTTTCCCTCCTTCTGGTTTAAAGTGAAGTCCTGTACCTCACGGGTCCGGTCATAGCTGAACGAGGATGCCGTCGGCTCTTCAGGGCTCGAAGTTTGTCCCCCTGCGTCAGACCTGAACTGTCCGTCAGTTCACCCTGGAGGATAAAACAAGTGCTCCATAAGTTGACAAATGAAAACAAGAGACAAGATAGACGAAAAAATTTTTTTTTTTTAACATTTTCCATTGATTAATAAATGTTTATTTTTGTTTAAATTGAGACTTGTATTTTTTGTATGTCATCGAGAGTATTTAAATGATTTTCAATCAGAAAAAAAATGTGTGATTAAAATGCGATTAATCGCAAGTTAACTTAGGCATTGATGCGATTAAAAAAAATTTAATCGATTGACAGCACTAATGTATATCCATAGTTTTTGAATATTTCTGACAAAATGGCATTTAGCCATTTATTTAAATCCTGATTCAGATGAAACCAAAAATATTACCACTTCACTGCCTGATCCTTTAAGCTGTTCTATGACTTTATTTTTTTCAGATAAACATACAATTCTTCCTTCTCTACTCCATATTTTCTGATGTCATTTAATTAATGTCAGTCAAATATTGACCAGTGTCCCAAGGCAATAGGTGTCTTCATGCAAAGAAAAGCAGGACAATTGTAGTGGATCACAAAGAATCATCCAGATGTGGGGATATAAACCCCCCAAAACAGAATAGGTTCTGAAAAAAATCACCTATTCTAATAATAGATTTACAAAGACCGCAGAGTGTTTATTAAGTAATGGAATCAATATCAAAACATAAAGTACATATTGGTAAGGATATGTGGTCTAAGATTTAATGTAGCGGCTCATTTGAAATCACTGAGTCCAAAAAAAGAACGTTAAGTTATCCAGTTTATAACAGTTAACAATTGGTTCCTGAAGTTTGCCATCAGTGCGATTTTAGAGCAAAACCAAGGATAACTGAAAGGTAGAACCAACTGGGAACTGACTAGATAAGACTCTTTTCTTCACTGGTTCTAGTTTAGCACAGCAAAAAAACAAACTGGTTTATCTAGGACACATCCAGGTTAGAGTCTTTGCCTTTCCTTAATTGAAAACCATTCAGGTCACTTTATTTATATAGCACCAATTCACAACAAATGTCATTTCAAGGTGCTTTACAATTTAACCAGATCAAAGTCAGATTGGTTCAAAGTTTTCGATCCAAGGAAAACCAGCTGATTGCCTCGACAGCAATCCCTGACATCAAGCATGCATGAAAACCATCTTCACCAGTTAAAAATGTCATCCTACCTCTGTTGTATTTTTCTTAGTTTCTGCAGAGGAAACCAAGCAAATACAAACAGCTGGCTTTCTTCTTAAATAGTCACAAGCCGTGCTCACAGCACAGGGTTTATGTGTCTGGAGTTAATCTGATTGTTCACTTTGTATTGTCAAATATAAGCTCTGAGATCTATCAGATCAAAATGATTTTTAGAAATTAGGCAAAAGTAAACATGGTGCTCAGAATATTTCAATTGGCCGTTGGTCTTCATAAGACAGCTTAGGTTAAAAAAAAAAAAGCTTTCAAGACTAAGAACAAAAGGACCGGATGATTAGCAGGCACTAGAACCATGTTAGCACTGAAACAATTAGGCAAGTCAGTAACACTGCATCTATAACAAGCCACCTGGTTTATGAAGTGTTATTCATGAAGTAAGGATAAAGATGCCCAGCTGTGGTTCTGACCTCTTGAAGATGGTCAGAGCTCAGCGAGCGGGGCACATTGCTGTTGCGGGTGGAGTTTAATGAGAGTTCGTCCATGCCGCTGATAAGACGCGTTGTCTTGTCCTCCATTTTCCCCTTCTGAGGGAGCTGGCTGTCACTTTGCAACCAGAGAGCCGCCTGCTTTCTGTTAACACACACAAAAACAACATCACAACCTTAAATCTTTACTCATTAACAGGACAAGTTTTTGATGCTTTATCAGCCTTTTTAAAAGAAAAGAAAACTGAAATGCTAACAGACATTCAAGGGACAGACTGAAGTTTAAGGCAGCCATGATCTAGAAGTCAACCATTCACTCGACTTAAAACCCTACTTTAACTGTCAAACAGAGTCAAATGCTGTATTTCATGGAGCCTGGTAAAGAATGCAAACAAAAGATCACTGCTGGTAAATGGTAAAAGGATCCTAATTAAAACTGGTTGCTTACCAGGTTGTCTGATAAGTTTCCCTCAGCCTTCAATACCCACTGAAGCCAAAATGACATCTTAATTGGAGTTACAGTAAATGGCCAAGAGGGATTTCCCAATTTAAAAAAAAAAAAAAAACTACTGCTGAGGCGGACTTAAAGATTACAGGGGGGAAATTACATGACAGAAAGTGCAAAAATCTTCATGTAAGGAATGATTCCCTTTCTCCTGAAGTCCAATAATCTGTGATTTATTCATTTTGTTTTTTCCTTGGTAATTCATTTTCCTTAAACATCCTATAATAAAAGAAAAATTGTTATTTGCCTTGATTCAATTTAAGCCCCTCCATGAGCAATAAAAGAACATTATTTTAGCAAGAACATTATTTTAGCCAATATTATACTATACGACTATAATAGTCATATTCAGTAACCTAAAAGATTAAATACAATGAGGAACATTTGCCTGGTTAAAATTTTTTAAGTAACCCTCCTTAAGCAGGTATTAAACATCTATTAAGTCCACATTTCTTAATTACCTCAACTGGATTTATACATTTCAATTTAAAATGTTTGTTTTTTCTAATCACTGTAAACTGACAATAACTATAATCAACAAAAAAAAAAAAAAGATTGAAAACATCAAGTGAATCTATGTTATGGTTTTCACTTATTGAATTACTGAAATTAACTTTGTAACACTCCAAGTTCTGCATTCCTGCTCCATTACAGCCTCTACAGAGCTGAAACAGGTCTGTCTCAAACTATGGTTCAGGACCATGGTCCTCTGGGACTCCCTTATCTGCATGTTTGAGTAATCTCCTTCTGCCATGCAGTTTACTTTAACAATCAGCCTGCAGGTCAGCTCAAATGCATCTGAATAAGGCATAGGATGTTTAAATTTTTATCAGTATGTTTATAACACCAAGTTCTTCCTTTGTTATTGCTGGACAGTTAGATATTCAAGAGGAAATGCTCGCACTAAAAGAGTCAATATGAGGTGTAAGATGAAGTTTCCAGTAATAATCTGATGCTAATGTCATGAGAGGCTGGAATCAGGAAATGAAATTGGGACTCCATGGAAACTGAGATAAGTGTCCGTCTCATGCTGTGTTGGAATGAAAAATCACTCCTTTCCCCCCCCCCAATTCTAATACCATCAAGTGAAATGTTTCCTATCGGCTCATGATGATGGATGTTAGTATTGCTGTTAAAGTAATTTAAGGAGGACGAGGCAGTCTTTCATAATCAATATTTGCTTAAGTTGTTAACAGCAGAATAGAAGGTAAATCCAGTACCAGTTAAAGCATTACGTTTGAGGAACCAGACAGCAGAATCAGGGGTTTTTCAAAAATCTGTAATGTTGTGTAATTTGGTCTTTTGATTCATTTTCCAGCAGCCCAACTGTCAGCAAACTCTTGATAATGATGTTCACAGTGAAACAGCTCCCCCTCAGACTAACAGCCACACATAGGGCAGCTCTTTCTGTGAGATTTCTCCATTAAATTTACTGGAATAAACGAGTAAAAATGTTTGGATACCCAGCAAAACAGAAGGAAACAGCTCAGGTAAGCCTAGAATCTAAGAAAGAACATTGCTTAGATTGTGTTTCTCAGCAGAGAAACATAATGTTGGAGAAAGTTTTTCCAGCAAAATGTGTGGTCTCAGGCATCAGGGAAATAATCTATTCCTTAAAATGTCAGAACATCTGCAGCCTAGCCTTAATTCTCTGCTATAGTAAAAGGACAAAAACTTTACCTTCAAAAGAGGAGGTCTGAACAAAAAGAATTAGTACAATAATTTGTAAACCAGACATAACTGGGCTCAAAACTATCACAAACCATAAGAAACACCCCAGTAAGCAAAGAAACTCACTCTTCAAGGAAATTCTGCTGCGGGCCGATTACAGAACCCGGCCTGCAGATCCTGATCCAGGCGATGGCCTCGGCGGCAGTGAAGCGGTAATGTTTCATCAGGTAACAGCCAATCAGAGTGCCCGTTCTGCCCAGACCAGCTGATGGAGAGAGACAAAAATGATTCAGCAAGTGACATGATTCAAAAAAGCTGTTTGAATCTGAACCACTGATCTAAGATGCAGACTATCACTTGGAACAACAAACAACTTCATTGGTGCAGAGTTGCAGATTTACAGAGTCTGTGCCACTGCTATCTGTGAGATAAGACCCAGATTGAAATGATGCCAGAATAAACAGAGGATCATCATCCAGGTCCGATCAGGGAAGTCCTTTCCCAGCCCTGCAGTGCAGTCACATGTAGTGCTGTGAAAAATGACTCATATAGGAGGTCACAGCAGAACCCAGAACATCTAAAGCACTGCAGGTCTCACCCCCTTTTAAGGTCAAAGTTTCACTCAATAAAACTGATTTTATTCAACCAGTCTGAACAGTCTGTTGTGTCGTTGGCTAGAAGAGCAACCTGCATAGACTAGTAATTATACCAAAATTGGGAAAATAATATAAAGACATTTTGCATTCAAGATGGAAAACCTTTTTTTCTCCTTCAGTATGCTATATCCAGAACTCCTCAAGTGGCTGAGTTTACTCCTTACATGGTTTAAATTCTGTATAAAATCTGCTTTGATAAACATTTTGCTAGCTGCTTTTAAACTTAATTGTAAAATTTTCAGCGTTTCTGTCTGTCCTCATCCGACTAAACATTAAATAGGAGAACATCGCCCTCTGTGGTCACATCTGAGACCTACAAGACGCATCTCTGAGGACGGCAGGGGGCAGACAAAGGCACTGGAGACAGAGAGAGCACCCACCCTTGCAGTGGACAGCCACAGCTCCTTGTGCATTCTCACAGATGTGCAGGAATCTACGAATGATGATGTCATTGGGCGTGCTGCCATCTATGAAGAAAAGGTCGTAGTGGTCGAAGCCGGCGTTGGTGAATCGCCTGCCATCATAGATCTTTTTGTTCAGGCGGATGATGGTGGTCACATTGTGCTTCCTGAAGTATGGGAAGTAAGCCTCAGGAGCGTGCAATGGGTAACCTGCGGGGGGTAGGGAAATCAGAGGGGTGAAACTCTTCTCTGGACCTACCAGTGTGTATATATCATTCAGACTTTCAAAAACAATTTGGAAAATTTCTGACTAGTAAATAATGTGTGGAAAATTGATTTTCTTAGTTGTCTGGCATCTCTGGAAGCTTTGGAATCTGACCTACAACTGCTGTTTACTTTTCCAAAATCAGGGCAGAGGTGTGTGTGCATTCTATTGTGCAACACAAGAATGAGTTTAACCTAACAAGCTGACGGATGGAAATATAGAAAAAGCCATGCAGCTTGTTAAAATTGATGTTGTTAGAACAGGTTAGGGGAGGTCCTCCAGAAAGTAAAACAACTAATGCAGGATGGAGTAAAAATACTCAATGGATTCCTGTTACCCTAGACTTTTACAGGATTATTAAAAGAAAACCTGCATGACAAGTCCTACAATGGTTTAAATAAAGTGACAATAATATGAAAGAAATTCTTTAAAATTGTTTACTCACCATTTTCTACCTTAGATTTCGGATGAGGTCCACTGAAGGCCAGAAACTTTCCTGGGACGATCCAGTTCAGGTCTCCATTCTCCACACGCTGCAGA